TATATATTATCTAATACATGTATGAAAATTATAATATATGTAACTTAAATAGGTAAAAGAAAAGTTGTATATTTACAATTCTGGAGGGAGTAAAATTGTACAATTGCAATATTTGAAGAATTAAAATTGAACAATTAAAATTTGGCAACAAAAATCGTAAAATTACGAAACTTGAGAATTAAAATTACTTAATTAGAATATTAAAATCTAAAATCGCACAATTGTAATATTTGAAAATTAAAAAACACAATTTAGCCAAAAAGTTTTTTTTTTCTAAAAAAAGTATTTTTTAAAAAGGTCATTATTTGAGAAGTATATAAATGTTACTTCTTAAAAAAATAGATAACTGTTTTTAAAAATTTAGATAAATACAATTAGTGATGAAAAATAGGTTAAGTTAGACCAGACTTTGAATATATAGATTGAGTTTGTTTATTAAAATTAAAGCTTAAGTTCGATCTATTATCTATCATAGACTTTTTTTATTAAGTGTGGTATGACCTTTTTTAAAGTCTAACTTGACCTATTAGCTTATTTAAAAGTTTATTTAAATTATTAATGTTAATTAAATCAATAAAATTAATTTTTAAAAATTAAAAAAATTATTTTTAAAATATAGTTTACTCAATATTATTAAAATTTTAAATTTTAAAAAAAATATAAAATAAAAATTGAATCATTTTCTATTAAAGAGGTAATTCATATACAACCATGTATATTGATGTACACTTATGCACATGTAATAAACTAATAAATCTATAAAAAAAAAAAAGGATTTCATTTTTTTTCATCCCTAAACCCAATCATAAAAAAAAACTCTTTATTTTACTATAAAAAATATTTTTAGATATTTTTTTTCAAACAAATGAGCCCAATATACCCTTAGAACTCGATATACCCTCAGATAAGAACAAATCGAGGCAATTATGACAAGCTACCGCATTCAATAGGAGTTGCCTTAGTTGATTTCCTAAGGCAGACACCAAAGTCTCTAAATAGTAGTTTATGCCTTTATTGGACTTCAAGAAGCATTCTAAACTCTTTTAAGAAGGGAAGACTCTAAAGACTCTAAATAGTAGTTTATGCCCTAATATAGCTTTCTAGTAGCATTTTAATCCTTACTTACGATTTCTAAGTGCATAAAAGCTCAGTAACAACTTTAGTTAAAAATAATTAGCAAAATCAGTAAATTTCAATCGTTTACCTATTCATAACTACCATGACTTTGGGTTTTACTATCCTATTAGATTCTCCTAAAATGAAGTTTATCTTAAGTGAAGAATTATAAGCATTAATTTTAAAAAATTAATAGTTGATATTTTCTTATAAAATTATTTTGATTTACAAAATGTATTTAAAAAATTTGTCAAGCCTGATAATCTCAATTATTATATTTGTCTTAGGAAGACATATTTTAAAAGATGCATACTTGCGGTCAGCGACATGTAGAACCAACCAAACCAGAGATCAGATTTGAGATCTCAGCACTAACAACTATGCCCCCATTAAATGAAAAGGTAAAGAAAATGAAAGCTCAAATTGTTTAAACAAAGCAAACTTGGCCTTTGCAGTTTGCACCACTGATCTTAAAAAAAAAAAGTCTGATCTCAATGTATAATGCAACGTCTCCTAATCATAGGAATATTTTAATATTCCCTTTCTCCATCTACTTAGCCCTATAGAAAAAAAAAAAAAAAAAAAAAAGTTTGCACCCAAATCACTGTTTTGGTTTTTGCTCCTTTATACTAAAATCCAAGTCAGGGATACGAAGGAGGAAAAATCCTACATCCAAGGAACACTTTCACAAGTCACCACCCAATGTTCACACCCATTCACCACCACAAACATGCATAACAAAGCCGAAAAATCCATTCAATGTACTCATGTAGCTCATCCAACACCCTCTGAAGAGATCATAAAGCTAAGTTACAAGAATCTGTAGTTGTTGTAGATGATGGTGAAGAAGAAGATGCAAATGGTGACATCTTGTGCTTATTGTCATGATCATCCCCCACAATGATTCTTCCACCAGCCTCATTTGTGTCTCTACTCTCAATACTGTCAAACACTGCCCTCACGTTGATATCATTCTCAGTCCCACCAGGCTCTGTGCTAAACAGATAATCAATGTCTTCATCAAAGGCTGCACCATCAAACATGCAAGCCAAATCATCAGCTTTTCCACCACCAAAACCCAAGTGTGGTTGTTCAAGCTCAGACAAGCCACTGTACATGAGGCTCCAGGGTAGATCCTGGTCCAGCACATGCTCCATCATAGTGGTCATTGAGGGTTCTTCTTCATTAGTGTGTTCAACTTGGTCCTGATGCTGTGGTGGCATGTGCAGATTCTCAGATGGGGGTGGTGTAACTTTTGTGTGTTGTTCTACTTCTGCTTCTTCAGAGTCAGAGGAGTTAGGAGCTGTTTGTGTTTCTGTTTGGTCATTTTTCTTCTTTATTTTGTCCATGTAATTGCTTATGTCAAAATTGGTCACTGCATTGACTCCACGGTACTCTATTGCTGCCATGTCATATGCCACAGCTGCTTCCTCTTGAGTTTCTAAGTTCAAATAAAGAAAAAAAAATACCCATAAATATTAACAAATGTGAAAGAGAAACTAAACGATAAACAATAATTAGCTCAGTAGGTAAGGGTCTAGCTCAGATAGGACTGAGTTCAGTCCATAAGAGATTAGTTCAGTAAGTCCAACAAAACATCTTAGTTGTTATGAATCTCTTTAATATTGAGATCGATTTCTATACATAAAAAAATACACTTTAAATTCTGAAAATGTGGGTGGAAGGAGGAAAGAGAAAAAAAAAATGAGCACGAAAAAAAACAAACAATAAATATAATACATGATATGATAAAAGAAAAGAAAGATAAATTAAAATTAGATAAACGTAGGATGAAAGAGAAATAACTTGAAAAAACAAGAGTGATACCTAAAAGTGGTTGGTGACTATGAAAGAATAAAATTTGCAAAAAGACAACTTTATGACATACATAGAATCTCTCAAAACTAAAAAGTTTGAAGTATCAGGGTAGGATTACTATTCACGTGCCCACTGGATTTTGGAGGTGCTAATGTTCTGTTTCCTGATTTAGTTCTCTTTTTAATTTTAGTTTATCTTTTATTTATCTAAAAATAAAATTATTCAAACAAAGTTTATTTTATATTCTGATTTCAAGATTGGCAGTTTTTAAATTGTTACTTTTAGCCGACATGTTGGCAGGAGATTGTGGACACTGCATATGAACAAAGTACAAAGTCAAGGATATGCTGTACCCTCCAACATGCTTGTCTATTGGGTTTAGGGCTCTATTGTCAAATGTTAGATTGAACTTGACCAACTAATTGTGCATTAGACATTGCAAAATATTACATTATTTAGACTAAAAAAAACACACAATATCTAAATTAAAAGTACGACATAATACTTTATTTATTTATATCTTTGGTCTCCTTATTACCAGAAATTTAAAAAATTATGAAACTGTTTCCCTACTATTTTAATTGTGTAATTTTTTGAATCATTCATAAAAAAAATATTATACAATTAAAATAATAGAAAATCAAATTTGCATAAAAAAAAAACTAAATTGGCGAAATGACAATAATAATGGGACTAAACAATGTAATTAAATTTTTTTTATTCTACCAAGCCATATACAAATACATCTACACAATGTGACAATTTATGAAAAATTTCAATGTGATTGCACTAGAATTAGAATTATGAATATGTTATCCCTACACACAAGCCCAAAGTGGTCACTTTGAATAAATTGGACCCATAAAGAAAGGGGGAAGGGGAGAATGCACGTGCCATGTTGCTTGCTGTAACTTTCCTATGCTATTTTTATGTGATCCACAGCCACATATTGTACTGTCAGACCAGAAATTGATGCATACTGCAACTAGTGGACAACACTGCTGCAGCTACAGTTCATGCAATGAGCACAACTCACACATGCATCCTAAAACTCAAGTTTTAACTGTCATTAATTATGAGAACAGCAGGTTTACAAGCTGTACTGTAGTATAATATTATCTTCTTCGTTTCTTTGTCTTTTAATTGAAAAATAACACTACAACAAAAAAGAGATAAATAGATACTTTTATTAATTGAAATTTGTTTTCTACATGAAATGTTTTTTTGTCAATATTATTTTTCAATTTACAAGAAAGAGCAACGAAACAGTAGAGTCGGATAGAGGAAATAGGAACTTTGAATGCGACGTAAACCGGTAACATGTGCTTCCGATTTCTAAGAGAATTTTTGTCATATATATATATATATGACAAAAATAATTTTAATATATATAAATGTAATTTTGAAGAAGCTCTAAGATCTAAATATTATTTGAACTGTACAATCGATTTACCTAGTAGTGAGAGACTGAAATAATATGCATTCAATCTAAATTCAAATTTTAATATTATTATTATAATTTTAATAAATATTTTATATTTTATATTTGTATAAAATCAAGAAATAAAATAGAAACTCATCTGTGCATGGTGGTACATGGGTTAAAAATATATGAGTTGTTCATATTATATTACTTTTTTAATTTTTAATTTAATTATATTGAAATAAACTATTTTATTATTTAATAAATTAATATACATATTTAAAAAATAAATTTGTTAACTTATTTAAAATTAAATTTATTGATTTTTTAAAATAAAATAAATTTTTAAAGAGATTAATCAATCAAATCAGATTTTAATATATATATATATATATATAAAAATTAAAATAAATAATAAATTAAATTTAACTTTTATTTTCTCAATTTATATATTTATCGTTCAATATGTGAAAAGATAAAATTTTAAAATTTAAATTTAAAAAAAAAAGATTTTTTTTTTAAAAGTAAACTTTACTCTCTTCTCTTTTCTCTCTACTTTTTCTTTCGTCAATTAGATAAAACAAATATTTCATAACATATATCTATATTTTCTCCCTCTTTATTCTCACTTATCTAAAGGAAGGGTACAAGTCAGCAAGTAAAGGGTAAACGATTATCAAATATATTAGAAGGATATCAATCAACTTGAATATTTTTTTTATTGAAAAACTAACATAAAAATAAGCATATATATATATATTTTTTGTCTCATCAAAAGCATAAATTTCCCATAATTAGTATATGCTATTTTTCACCTTCATTCTGTTTCTTATATATATATATATATGCTTATACTAATTATGGGAAATTTATGCTTTTGATGAGACACCAGATATCCCTTAACCAATGGGGACAGGAATTTTATGAAACACAAATGCTATAGAGTAATACATTGGGGTCTACAAATCGTACTTCTCCCGGTTATGGATTGTCAATGCCACATGCCATGTGATATTCTTTGATTTAGTTCATGCAAATGGAACTGATTTTAATAGTTGTACATTAAAAAAAAAAATGGATGATTGAGAGAATTGACACTAAAAATAGATAAGAAATCAACAGAGTATAGGATGAAAAAAAAAAAACAGTACATTATATTTTTCTTTTAGAATTTCACAAAATTCATCTTAGTTTGGTCATTGCACTTTCCAAACAAGTAACAAAAGTTTAAAATATTTTCAATCGAAGAAAAAATAGATAGAAAAACTTACTAAATGTTCCCAAGTAGAGGTACTTGTTTCCACATACTCTTCCAATGCGAGCTTCCCAGCGACCATTATGATGATGCCTATTCCAATAATTAGAAAATTTGCATTAATTGCATAATGTTTTTAAAAAATTCATTTTAATCATCAATGTAATGAACTGAATTTTAAATTTTAATTCTTCTTATGCACCCAATTTTAAAATTAAGTAGTGAAAACAAAAATAGAAATCATAATTTAACTAAGAGCAAATACGAGTCAAATGCAACTAACCTAGCAACTCCGCGATACTTAGAAATGCCTCTAGAAAAACCACTGCTTTGACGCCGCAAAGAAGCCAAATATTCTTCTTTCGAGGCCTTGTCAATTTCCTCAAGATCCTTGGTATAATTTTCTATCTGCACGGTTCATCAATAATTAGTTGATACAATATTTTTTTTATCATATTATAAATAAATTATAATAAAAAATGAAAATACCGGGAAATTCAAGGTTGCATCCTTCCCCCAGTACTTAAGGGCAGCAAGATCATATGTACGGGCTGCAGCTTCTTCAGTATCATATGCCCCTACATGAAACAAAAAAAAACAAAAAACAAAAAGAAAAAACAAAAATTAGAGAAAAAAAAAATCAAAATCAGAGAATTGGGTCCAAGCAACCACATCATGATCAGAATCTTTCTTGGTCTTAAAAAATAATCTGTAAAAAAGGGATACTGCAATATAATTAATAATTTAGAAAATTGAAAAGTTGACTAGGATTGTGTGAGAATCAAGTGTATGAGATAAGGACTTACCCAAATAAACTAAACCAGCCCCAAAAGTTTATGCGAAGGGTTGCGATCACAAAGATTACCAGGAATAAAACAAGGTCAGAATAGATAATAATCACCACCAAAAAAATACAGGCAAAAATAGTAAACAAAATTAATAGATCTCCTAGATTTTCTCTGTCTTCTTTTTTTTTTTTTTTTTTTTTTTTTTTTTTTTTTTTTTTTTTTTTTTAATTTTTTTCTGGATTAATTTAATCACCCTAGAGAAAATTACCTTGTCGTCCCTTCTTGCCCTGAATGTTGTTCCAAGAGGTCTTATCCCACAGGTGAGCTTCAAACCTCCCTGTCCACCTATGCCTATTGATCAAACACAATTAAGAGACATGCAAATGCAGGTGAAAACCCATTAAGGAGAATGCAAAGGGAATTAAAATCAGTGACTTGAACCTGGTAACTCCCCTATAAATGGAGCTTCTTCCCCCATTGGTTTGGTCCTGGTTGCATTTTTGTGACTTCAAATTTCTCCTTGGATGCTTAGGCCTTCTTTTCTCTGACTGAATGGGAGTTTCAATTCCAACAGAAGAAGATGATGAACAAGAAGATGCTGGAGACCTCTTCATTAGGGCCTCAATCTCAATGCCAACAACACCCACCTTTTGTGCCCCAAAAAAGAAAAATAACTCAATGGGTGTGCTTGGAGATGAATTAGACCCAATTTTTTTTTTTTTTTGAATGTGTTGCCAAGTTCTCTCCTTTTCCCTCTTCTGGTAGATTCTATGATGGCATCTTGGTATATGTAGTAATGTAGTACTAGTAGTAGTAATCTGGTTACCTAAAGTGGTTTACCAAAACAAAGAGAAAGAGGCAACAAAGAAGGAAAAGAGAAATGGGGGGTTATAAAAGGAGGAGAAAATATTTAAATAAGCAACTGAATCTGTAATTCAGGGTGGGGTGGGAAGGATGTGAAGGAAGTAATGGTTTAACCTTGGGTTGGAATTTAACTTGATCAATTAACCATGGCTAATTCAATGGCTTCAACTTGAGCTACACTTGGCAAGGTGGTGCAGCCATGCTGCCAATGGGGCTTTGTATTCTAAGCTGGCTTTCCTGGTTTAGGAATCTCAACCTTTTTGCCAGAATTTTTAATTGTTTTTTTCAAAATAAAAATTATAAAAGATGAAAACTTACCTGGCTTGAATGGCCTCAAGTGTCCACGTCAGTTACTGTGTGTGTGATTCTGAAACATTAGTTGGAACAGGGCATGTGAGAGGAGAGAAGGTATCTTAATCTGATATTAGTTGAGAATGTTATGTGCAAAGGTTCTGGAATTTAACCAAACTATGACAGGAAACAAAAATTTCAGGGATTATTATGCAAGGATAGAAAAGACCCTTTACTGTTTGTTCTCTTTGCCTGCTTTGTTTATTTTCCCCCTAACTCTAGACTAAAATAAAGCTTGTATTTTTGTGTGTGCAATTTACAAGACAGTGAATAGTGTCACTCGGAAGTTGAATCATATTAAGCAATAGATTAATTTCGATTATTTGTACAGATTCAAACATCAATTCAATCTTTCATAAACCTAAAATTAATTTGTCTGAATTTATCATTCATATATGACATTGACTCATCTATGAAATTGACTCACCGCGAGTTTGGATCGGCGTTGTGGATCACTTATGAACTAACTAATAGTTGTTTGTGTTATTTGGAGATTTGGTAACTCAGAAAATAAGATTCTCTGACATTGAATCAAGCATGTATTTAGTTAATTTTGTTTTATGAGACAAGTAGCATAGTCTTTATAGCGTCTCTTCTAGAATTTTTTATTTATTATATATATATATATATATTGAAGAATTTAACCGTCTAATGTATTAAATTTCCTATTAAATATTATTGTAATAATTCATTGAATGACTCAAATTTTGACCAAACATGCACCATAATATACGTGAAAAAAGTCTGAAATACCGGGAGAGATTAAATAACTATGAAATTAGTCAATAAAAAACACTTAAACATTGACACTTTACAAAAATAACATTTAATAGTTATTAATTTTACGATTCACGTGATATAATTTCATTACCTATCAATTCAAATTATAAGATAAAATATCAAATGACTTTAAATTTTATAATACACAAATAACTTAATAATAATTTATTATTATTATTATTATTATATTTATCATTCACTATTTCTTATAAAACAATTGAAAAGATATATAAGCTTAAATTGCTAAATAAAATATATTTTTTAATAAGCTAAAGAAATAATATTAAAGGCATACTGATTGAAGCATAAGTGCAAAATTGGCGTCAGGAGTTAAAATATACACTATATGTACCTATTAGCACTTATGATAGGAAAAATACATGATAAATAAAAAGAATTTAATAAGCACTTATGAAGTTATATATAATGGCATCATCAAAGTTTAGACCGTTATTAGGATGGACCACTCGTGGAAGTGATTTTATGGTGGTCTACTAAGAATTAGTCATAACATTTATTATTACTATATTAAATGGTTGAGATGAGTTGCTTATAAAAGTTTTTATCTTCATATTGTTTTTTTGAAATATAATTATATTTTACCAATTTATTCATAGATTTAAAAATAATTACAGCTCTCAAAGTTGTTCTTGGCCATTACCTCGTCTTTGTTAGCGTCTTCACTTCCTCATTTTCTTTGCCTCACTCCTTGTCTCCACCATGGCATTACCACGTTACAATGAACTACACTACTGCTTCAACATGGTGGGTTAATGCTTGACAAAATTTGTGAGGCAAAAACCTTTCCAGGTTCATTCATGGAGTGGGTTTTTTTATCAGAGGGATGCAATATGGTGAGAATGGGTTTGTGAAGGGGCATCAAAGTTACAGGTATGACCAATGGGTGGGTAGAAAGCACGAGCTGCATAAAAACTTTTTGTTTCATATAACTAACAATGGTTCATGTGAGATTACATACAAAGGTGGAGGACCCTAACCCATCCAAGGTTTAAATTTTAATTTGGGTATAAATTACCCAAATTCTCACAATTAAGTCGTGTTCTTGTATTAGGATACACACTTCAATTATCTTTGTTGTAGCAGGTCTAGTCTTGGGTCTAGGTCTTCTCGTCCTTCTCCGAGTAGTCCGAAGTGAGGGCGGGGTGCCTGTAAAGACACTCCAACGCTCAAGTAAGTGTTCGGTGTAATAAATGCGGTAGTTGAAAATTAGTTGCGTACCTCGTTGGGAGTCTATTTATAGTGTTTCTCATTGGGTCGTGATTAGGAACTGGGCCCCGGGAAATTAAGGGACTAATCCGGCGCATTACGTAAATTAACCTTTCTTTAATTGTCCTAGCGTAGATCCGTAGCTTGGTCGAGCACACCAACACATTCAGAGGGTGTTCGGTGTGGTTGGCGAGGTTTGCTGGGTCGGTCGGGTCGGATACTCGGGGTGTTCGGCATGGTCGACCACCATCCGGTATACAACCCCTGCAGCGTCAAGGACAGAAAAGACGAAGACGATGGAAAAAAACCGGCGGGGAGAATTTTGTGGGGCTTCGGTTCTAGGCGTTAAACAAGAGATGGTGATTTCGACCACTAGAGCTGACACCGACGTCGTAAACTAGAGATGGTTAGTCCACCGTGTGGTCATGTTGAATGCGATCGTGATCATAGGACTTTGGGGCAAGCCGGTTGCTTAGGGAGAAAACCCCTGCAAGACAGAAGTGTAGAGTGATGGAGGGCAGTCGGTGTGGTCGGGTTTAGGGTATTCGGCCTGGTCGTATAGCAAACGATAGCAAAGCTAGTATCAAACGATAGCAAAGCTAGTATCAAGACTAAGGTTGATCCAGGCCCAAATCAAATACAAGATAAGACGAATCTATCAACTGAAGCCTGAGGGATCAGATGTAAGACCAAAATAGGCATCATAGGAGACTAAGTCAAGAACGGGACAAAAGTTGGCTAAACATCAACATGGATTTGCAAAATCGTCAGATAAAGCCTAACGAACAAGCAGATGAAGTCATCACTACCAGACATAAAGGGTAGTCAAGACCAGACGAAGAATCAAAACTAAAATGTGTATCTAGACGTAGTTTGAAAATAATGAAGCACGTCTGAAGTCCACTAATCACATTGAATGAAATCATACAAGAAACACAAAAGGACATCAAACCTGAATACAGAAAGAAGAAAAATAAGCAAGCATGGATTCACAAGTCAAATCTGCGTGTGTTAAAGAAAGGACACCTACTTTTCAGAAAAAGACAGCCCCTCAACAGCTAAATTGATGAGAAAAATACAAATATTCCTAGATCATGATTGAAGTCAGACATTGAAACAATCAACTACACAAAAGAACTTCACGTATACAAGCAAACATTTAATGCAAGATCAAACGCATTAAATGAAAAGATTTACATAGCCATGAACAAGCCTCCATCTGCAACGACATGAAGCTACGCTCCAACGGGAAAATTTGAATTCAAATAATGGGCAGATTTATCAACTGGCTATAAGTATCAAGGCAAAGAAGAAGAAGAAGTAGAGAACAAAGAAGTAGAGAAAACGTGCAATAAGAAAAATAGATTAGATGTAGGTCAGATTGAAGTGAACTAGTGTAAACATATGTGCATACCTTTTTCTATTTTTCAAACACTACTTGTTTAAAAACTTCGTCTTTCATCTACTTTCATTTCAACAAACTGTTAGACGAAAACACACTTGTCCATTCCTTTTTAAGAAACAATATTTTTATTCGGATGATGAAACCTTTCAGACGGAAAACAAATTTACTTAACTTATTTCTTGAAGTAGACGATCAGTTTAATTGGATGCAAAAAGCTTTCTAGTCAGACAAGCCTGTACCAGTTTTCAACAGTGCTTGAATATTATTTTTATTAAAAGAAAAAGGAGTATCTTTACAATGCGTTTTTGAAAAATCTTCCTTCGAACACACACACACACATTCAACCCCCCCTTCTGTGTGTATTTTCGCTAACTTCAGTTTTGTAAAGAGAAATGGTATAAAAAATTGAGATATTAAGTTTTCACTTAAGATAATCAATTATTTCAAGTAATAATAGATTATTTGCTTTATTTTTTAGTTACTTGAGGAGTACTTGCTGTAACAATCGATAATTCAACAAAATAATCAATTATTTCATAAATAGGTTATGGAATAATTGATTATTGCTCAAAATAATCGATTAAATTATTCTTGGTTGATTTCTAGAATTGTTAAGAACAAAATAATCGATTATTCATGTAAGTAATTAATCATTTTAATAAAAAAAAAACTTATATATATATATATATATCATTTGCACACCTTAAACAGATAACTTTTAGAACTTTTGAAAATCTTTGTGATATCATTTACGAAAATACTCTCTATGACTCATTTTTCTCTACAAGAAGAGGTTCTTTGACCTTTGTGATAACCTCAAGAAAGTTTTCTAGAATTGAGTTGATCATCATCTTCATAAGGTGAAAGGCTAAACTACATGGTTGATTCACCTTCTCTGATCTATTATGTACATCAGGTGAATTTGTTCTTTAATTCTTTGTACTAATTGTTATCTTAAGTTGGTTTCTTAAGAAAAGAGAATCTTGTAGTGGAGTGCTACAAGTAGGTGTGTAACACTCTAAAATTTTAATGCTTGATATTTTTTTTAATATATAAATATATATATATATA